TGAAAAAGAAATAGAGGAAGAGGAAGAAAAAGAAACAGAATTTGAAACTGAAGCTGAGTTGGAAAATTTTGATTTAGAAGGTGATGAAGGAGAACCATTGTTAGTAATTCGACAAGTTTTAACTGCTCAAACTGAAAATGAAGATAAGTGGCTTAGAAGAAACATCTTTAGGACTACTTGCACTGTTGAAGGGAAGATTTGTACCTTAATGATTGATAGTGGAAGTTTGGAAAATTTTGTGTCACAACATATGGTAAAAAAGTTTAAACTAAAAACAAAATCTCTTGTTAAGTCATACAAAATATCTTGGTTCCAAGAGGGAAGCGAGATTCCTATAACCAAACAATGCACTATGAACTTAACTATTGGATGAACTTATAAAGATCAAATAGTCTATGATGTTGTACCTCTTGAAGTCTGTCATATCCTTTTGGGTCGTCCATGGAAGTATGATCATAAAACCATCTACAATGGGGAAAAGAACATATATACTTTGATTAAAGATAACAAGGAGTTCACTCTTTTTCCAAAGAAATATTCCTGATCCAACAACAAAGAATAAAAAGTCTACAAAATCTTCCACCCCTGAATTGTTTCTAAACACAAGTGAGTTAACAAAGTCTGATGTGATATATCTGGTGCTTGGAAAAGAAACTGATTTAACTCTTGAAATTCCTAAAGAAATACAACCGTTATTTGATGAATTTTCTAATTTAATACTTGATGAATTACCAACTGGTCTACCCCAATTGAGAAACATTCAACATCATATTCATTTAAATCCTGGAGCTACATTGTCTAACCGTTCACATTACAGAATGAGTCCAAATGAACATCAAGAACTTTCTAAGCAAGTGTCTAAACTATTGGAGAAAGGTTTAATCCAGGAAAGTCTGAGTTCTTATGTTGTACCTGCTTTGCTTACTCCAAAGAAAGATAGAACCTGGAGAATGTGTGTGGATAGTCGAGTCATAAATAAAATAACCGTCAGATACCGATTTTCAATTTCTAGGTTAGATGACATGCTTGATATGCTAAGTGGTGCCAAGGTTTTCTCTAAAATTGATTTGAAAAGTGAGTATCATCAGATAAGAATTAGACCTGGGGATGAATGGAAAACTGCTTTTAAAACAAAAGAGGGTCTATATGAATGGCTTGTTATGCCTTTTGACTTGTCTAATGCTCCAAGTACTTTTATGCAAATGATGAATCATATTTTGCAACCTTTTATTGGAAAGTTTGTTGTTGTATATTTTGATGATATTCTGATTTATAGCATTCGCCCATCTGAACATCTATTTCATGTCGAGCAAATTCTGAAAACTTTGAGGGAACAAAAACTGTATATCAATTTAAAGAAATGTTCTTTTATGACTTCAAGTTTGACATTCTTGGGTTACATTGTGTCTGCCAAGGAAATCAAAGTAAGGCAATAAAGAGCTGGCCTATTCCTAAAAATATCAGTGAGGTAAGAGGTTTTCATGGGTTAGCATCTTTTTATCGTTGATTCATTAAAAACTTCAGTTCTATGATCGCTCCTATCACTGATTGTTTAAAAAAGGGAATCTTTAAATGGACTCCTGAAGCTGAAGAAACTTTTCAACTTATCAAAATTAAAATGAGTCAAGCTCCAATTCTTAGTCTGCCAAATTTTGAAAAAGTTTTTGAAGTTGATTGTGATGCTTCACATGTTGGTATTGGTGCTGTTTTAAGTCAGGAAAGAAAACCTGTTGCATACTTTAGTGAAAAATTAAATGATGTTCGATCTCGATATTCTACTTATGACTTGGAATTTTATGTCATTATTCAAGCTTTGAAATTCTGGAGATATTATTTGATTCATCGGGAATTTATTTTGAATACTGATCACGAGGCTTTACGATTTTTGGGGTCACAAAAAAATCTAAACAAAAGACATGCAAAATGGATTTCTTTCTTGCAAGAGTACTCTTTTCATATCAAACATAAGACTGGGGTTTTGAATAAGGTTGCTGATGAATTAAGTCGAAGATCTCACTTTTTGATAACTGTTTTTCGGACTCTTACTTCTTTTGATATTCTTAAAGATACTTATGAGAATGATTCTGATTTTAAAAATATTTAGGATTCTTGTCTTGCTTCTGGAACTGATCCTTCTGCTCAGTTTGTTATACATCAAGGTTTTTTGTTTAAGGGAACTAGACTTTGCATATCTAAGAGTTCCTTAAGAGAACAACTTGTGAAAGAAATGCATAGTGGAGGTTTGGGAGGACACTTTGGGCAAGGAAAAACAATTGCTTTAGTTTAAGAAAAATATTTTTGGCCTCATATGAGAAAGGACATTACTAAGCTGGTTAAACAGTGTAAAATATGTCAGGCTTTTAAAGGAACTGCACAAAATTCTAGTTTGTATACTCCTCTACCTATTCCAAACAAACCATGGGAAGATATTTCTATGGATTTCATTTTGGGTTTAAAAATTACTTCTAGAAAATTTGACTCTGTTTTTGTGTTTGTGGATCGATTTAGCAAAATGACACATTTTATTCCCTGTAAGAAAACTTCTGATGCTTCTTACATTGCTGATTTGTTTTTCAATGAAATTATTCGTCTGCATGGTATTCCTCGTACTTTTACTTCTGATCGAGATATTAGATTTTTAAGTCATTTTTGGAGAACTCTGTGGGCAAAACTTGGAACTACTCATCAATTTAGTAGTGCCTATCATCCTCAAACTGATGGGAAAACTGAAGTTGTTAATAGAAGTTTAGGAAATATGTTATGATGCCTTGCTAGAGAAAACCATCTCAATGGGATTTAGTGTTGCCTCAGGCTGAGTTTGCTTACAATAATTCTGTTAATCGTTCTACTGGCAAAACTCTTTTTGAAATAATTTATGGGCAACCTATTCCTCACATTTTAGAAAGGAACTCCTTATCATTACCTAAGAAAACTAGTATTGAAGCTTTTGAAACATTTGACCACATAAAAACTATCCAACAACAGGTCCTTGAAAAACTTCAAAAAAATAATGCTAAGTACAAGTCTGCTGCTGATAAACATCGAAAAGAAGTAAATTTCAATATGGGTGATTTGGTTATGGCTTACTTTCGTCGCCAACAATTTCCTGTTGGCACTTTTAGAAAGTTAAGCAGAAAAAAGTTTGGCACTTTTCGTGTGCTTCAAAAATTAGGCACTAATGCCTACTTGCTGGATCTACCAATTACTATTGACACTTCTCCTGTTTTTAATGTTTCTGACCTATCTTTATATGAAGGAAATTCTAATGATTCTGTATACATTGAAACTTTGCCACTCTGCTCCTTTGGCAAAGTCTGAAGATCAAATTGAAGATGTTGTCGATATGAAAGTCATTAAAACAAGACATGGGGTACACAAGAAGTTCTTGGTCAAATGGAGCAATCGATCATTGACTGATTGCACCTGGATTGATGCTGCTGATCTAAAAAATCGAAATTTGAAGCTTTATGAAAGAGTTGCTGAAACGTTCTCATTAGAAGATGAGAATTTTCCACCAGGGGGAATTGATGCTATAAAATATTTATGTATTTTTATTTTTATTTGAACATTAGTATGTTTTATGTTCTTTTCTTTTTTTAGCTATCCAATGATGGGAAAGCATCCAATGAACATGGTAGGTTGTGCGTGGGGCTTGGTAGACCTTTGTTTTGCTAGCTCGAAAAGTCCTTGGCTGCTGCTGGTTCACAGGTTGGCTTATGGTCCACGGTTTTGGGGCCTATGGTGATGTATGGAGAAGGTTGGAATTGAGCTCATTTGTTGCTAGCTCATTAATGATGAGCTGAAGTTTAGTAGCTCATTAATGTTGTAAAGGTAAGCTCATAAGTTGGATTTAATTTTTGGAGTGGACTTGTCCCTTCCCCTTTCTTCTTTAAAATATTCCCTTGTCTCTTGGGAATCGTGGTTGTGTTTGGGCTTCCTATGCTGGATTAATTCGTGCCTTTTCTCCTTGGGTTTCCGGCTGGTTGTTGGTTTTTCCAAGCTGAGGGCTTTTCCGTGCATTTTGACGCCTTGGTTCCGTGGCTGCCTCTTCGGTTCTTTGACTGGATTGCTTTTCCCTGAAAAACAATGGGGAAATCCGTGACTTATGATGCTTGGGTTCTTGTGGAAATTCAATAAAGTGGCTGTTGGCATTCTCCTTTCTTACCTATAAATATGAGAGGTTTTGTGAAGAAAGAGGAGTTGATTATTGTGAGCAAATTTGCTATTGACCTGCGGGTTATTGGAAAAGCTTGCGAGCTTGTTCCATTCTTCTTCTCCACCTCCTTTGGAAATCTTGCGAGCTCTTTCCACCCTTCGTCTTGGCTTCTAACCTCTTTCATCTCTCCGCAAGTACCACTCCATCTGTTTCCTTCTTCTCGAGCAGTAGTAGTGTTTGTTGGTTGACTTGGAAGCATTTGTTGGAAGAATTGGACGATCTTGCAAAGGTGGACCATCGGTTTGCTAGCCCTATGCACTTATTTTATTTAACCTAAATTTCGATACATGTGAGGAACCCGCTCTAACGTTTGTCTGAGGATAGCGTTGTTTCTAATTTCTTTGTTTCTTTAAGTCTCTTCGTGTTTTCTTTGTTGGATTTTGAATGTTATAGATGATTGCTACTATTTGAATAGAGTCTGGTTTGAGTTCTATCAATTGTTCTCTTTGTTTCAGTTTTCTTATACTTGTGCTTACATCAGTATATATAAGTAAAACAAAGAAAATAAACCAATAATTACATTAGCTTGCTATTTCATTGCATGGTAAGATATAAATATATGACTTTACTTTAAAATCATTCCATAAACAATTCCTAGCTAAGATTCGTAGTCCTGATTTCTAGGAGAACCCATGTATAACTAAAGATAAAAGTCTTCTGCAGGCATAGCTTATAATTCAGTTATACTTAATTAAGATGTACTTGATGAAAAACTCAGCATATTCAGCATTGTTTTCAAATCAAGCAATTTAGAACAGAACAAACTAGATTGTTTAGTAGCCACCATGAGATGCTACAGTAGATGAGCCCTCTGAGGCCTTCACATATGATTGTACTGATCTTCTTCTATTACCCGATGAGGACCGTATAGCCTGTGGTGACAATAAAGCTCGGGAAAATGTAGTATTAAGAAGAACCCTCTTAATGGGGACCATAACTGGCCTCTGAGGAGAAAACAGCTCTGAATGACCCGCCTGTATAGCACCTGCTTAAGATTCTGATATTAGTGGTAGTTATAGCAAACTGTCGACAAGTAGAAAAAGAAATCAATTCAATAGAGTTGCATGCTCTTCAACAAGATTTTAAACCCATCCATGTTTGAATCACATACATATATTATCCCCCCTGGGTAGTAAGTACTAGCAATATCATTATTAGTTTATACAATGAATCAAAAAGTGAGTTACTTCAACAATGCACCACAAGAGAAAATATTAATGAATCTACAATAGGCCTCGAAAGTATGCTAAGTCGCTGATGCGCCCCATGGACAAAAAGAACTAAAGGGGTCACATGCTAAAACGAAGGCTTCATTCCTCCAGATAAACAAATTAAATCATATATGCTTAAGTGCCTCTACTCCAGTGTAAATCAGTGGTTGCCAGCATTAAATGAGCTAGCCATGCTATGCAAAAGTCCCATTATTGAAGATGCCATACATCTAAGCTACTATCAGTCAAGCTTGATGCCTTTGAAAAACAATCAGCCATCCTTCGTAACTCTGAGTTACAGTTTGCCAAGCCTCATACCTTTATGTGACTTAGAATATCTGAAAGGGCAAATCCTCTGCCAGTAAAATGAACCAAAGGCTAAAACAAAAATAACAACATTGACATTAATACACTGCTGATTCATTATAAACTGTCCCGGATGAGAAGACTCGTGTCTCCTAATAAGAGGCCCAAACCAAAGAGTTAAAGCCAAGACATAATGACTCAGTGCCAAAAGCCACTGCAACCTCTTTTACTCAACGTAACCGAAGCAACCTAAGAAAAGGAATTAGGCACATGTTGGCCAACTTGGATGCACAATCTATGATTTTATCTTATTAGCATGCAAGTCGAGCGTGCAGGTCATGCTTGTTTAAGGCAAACATAAGCCTAGAAGACACCTAAGTGCAGCTGAAGCTTGGCAAATTTCGGTACGGGCATAATTTCATCCACTTGACAGCTCGTTGAGATAGCACACTAGTCAAACTAAGGGCTCCTTCAGCTACTAGATCATGGAAATCATGTTTTAAATAGTGATGAAATTTTTTTCCGCTCAATTTAAGAGTGAAAATAAATCCTCATTTTTAAGAGATTTTAAAGGTATTTGTGGAACCTGAAATGTTCAAAATTAATGTCATTTATAAACACACATGATTCTTATAGTTTTGGTTAAAAAGAAATAGAAATGATCTTTATTTATTAGATATAAATAACAATTTGACTATTAATAAGACATTATAGAGAAAAATGATTCATCTAGTCAACCCCATGTAGAGTGATAAAGGCTTGATGTTCTTGTTTGATTATGTATGTTGGATCAAATTTTTTTAATTACAATGTTCATATATTATAAGCTAGAATTTCTCTATAACCTAAGTTATAGAGTCAACTTATCATTAAATAAGAGCAGAGCAAAATAAGAACACCGATGTTGTAAGATCCTAAGCCCTGGATGAGAAAAGTTGAGTGTTATGCTAGGTAATCGACAGCCAGCAAAAAACTTGTCGGATAATCTAAACATGAATCCTTTAATACTTTGTGGTTATTATAGGGCATTGTTTAGTAGCGACGCGTTGTATGGCCTGAATCAAGAAGTGTGAAAGGGCTGCTGCACCCATGTCCAGAAGCAATGTTAAATAAATAAGGCTTCCCACATCATGGACCGAGGGGGGGCAAGAAAATAGTCAATGAAACTAAAATTTAGGATAGGAACTTGGAAAATAAGTTTTCTTATAGGCAAACTAATAGAAATAATAGATATTATGATTCAGAGGAAGATAAATATTCTATATTTTTAGGAAATTAAATGAGTCAGAGAGAAGGCTACGAATATTGATAGTTTATAATTTAAACTATGATAATCATGTAGAAGTCATACTAGAAATTGTGTAGGTGTGATTATAGATAAGAGTTTGAAGGATAATATTATAGAAATTAATAGAATAAGATATAGAATTATAATTTTAAATATTTTTATTGATGCTAAGATAATTAATATTATAAGTGTTTATACTCTTTAAGTATGTTTAAATACAATAACAATATCAATTCTTTATCCCACTACGTGGGGTCGGCTACATGAATCATTTTTCTCCATTGTGTCCGGTTAAGAGTCAAATTCTCATTTAGACCTAATAAAGAATGGGTAGTTATAATATTTTCTAAACAAGTCTTTTTAGGTCTACCTCTATCTTTCTTAACATAGGATAAATCTAGTACATCTACTCTCCTAACCGGGTCATCGAAAGGTCGTCGTTTTATTGTAGCCGACCTAAACAAGCCTAATGCATTCCTCCGATTCATCCATCCAACATAAATTATACTAATAATATCTCCATCTATTTCACCATCACTCTAAACAATAGACCCAAGATATCTAAAATGTGTACTCTTATTAAAGACTTCATCACTCAAAATCACAAACCCTCCACTAGACCTGTTACTACTAAAATTACACTCCATGTATTCGGTTTTAGATATACTCAAACAAAAACTTTTAGAATATAAGGTTGGCTTCCATAATTCAAGTTTACCTTAAACATCCTCTTTAGTCTTATCAACAAGAAGAATATCGTCAGCAAAACACATACACTATGGAGCATCCTCTTGCAAATCTTTAGTAAGAACATCCATGACTAAAGCAAAAAGATATTGGCTTAAGGCTGAGCCTTGATGTAAAACTAAAATTGGAAGATATTTGGCCCAGCATGCATATCCCTAATGACTTGAATATAAGCATTATTAATTCCTTTTTTTTAGAACTCTCCATAGCATTTCTCTTGGAACTTTATCATATGATTTCTCTAAATCAATAAATATCATATGAAGATCTTCATTTTTCTCTATATACTTCTCCATCAAACCTCTCAATAAATGTATGGCTTCCACAGTATAGACCTACAAGGCATAAAACCAAAATGATTTAGAGAAACATTAGTATCACATCGCAACCTATGCTCCATAACTCTCTCCTATAGTTTTAAAGTATGACACATCAACTTAATTCCTCTATAATTTGCACAATCCTGTGCATCACCTTTATTATTAAAAATAAGAATCAACAAACTCATTCTTTTACACTGTCATTGCCAGATCCTAAGTCCTGGATGAGAAAAGTGGAGTGTGCTAGATAGTCGACAGTCAGCATAAAACTTGTCGAATAATCATGGCAACATGACATGACACTCATTCTCCACACATCTGATATATTTTTATTCTTCAAAATAATATTAAAAAGTTTAGTAAGCCAAGAAATTCCTTCATCTCCTAAGCATTTTCATACCTCTATTAGAATTTTATCAGGTCCAATAGTTTTTCCACACTTTATTTTCTTTAAAACCTCTCAAACTTCAGTTTTAGTAATATACCGATAAAAATAAAAATCTATATTTTGGTCTAGAGGGCTAATGTCACTAAATTCAATCATATTTTCACAATCTTCACTGAAAATCTTATTAAAATATCTAATCCACCTTTGTTAAATATCATCTTCTAAAAAAGTACTTTTTGATCTTCATCCTTAATGCACTTCACTTGAACTAAATCCTTACTACTCTTATCTCTTTGTTTGGCTAGCTTATACATATATCTTTAACCCTCTTTAGTATCTAATCTATTATATAAATCATAAAAAGCTAAAGTCTTTACATCGTAGAATGCTTTCTTAGACTCCTTACGGGCAACTTTATATTTTTCTCAATTATCAAAATTTTTACAACTAAAAAAATTTTTATAATAGATATTCTTATTTTTTATGTTTTCTTACACATATTGATTCCACCACCAACTATTTTTACTGTTAATTTTTGTTCCTTTTAATACTTCAAGCACATTTTTTGCAACATTCTTAATATTACAAGCTATTATTTCTCCCTTAACATTAACTTCCTCATGCACCGACCAAATCTTAAGATTGTGGATCTTACTCACAAAGATATTTTTGTAAAAGTTTTTTAAATGTCACCATATAATCTTAGAACAATGATATACTATATTTTTCAAACTCTACCCCTTCATTTTAAAGTTCAAAACTAATAAGCAATATTGGGTACATAGACTTTCACTCATAATAACTTTACAATCTCTACAATCAAAACAATCTTCTTACAAGAAAATAATCAATTTATGTTTTATCATATCTACTATTATATGTTATTAGATGCTCACTTTTTTCTTAAATATAGTATTAGTAATAACAAAATCATAAGCTAGTAAAAAATCTAATAAAAAATCTAATGTAATCCACCTTCATTAGTCATTTCAAACTGATAGCCACTATGAATGCTTTTAGAATCCTCAATTTCTCTACCAACATATTCATTTAAATCTCCCCCAATAAAAAATCTTTCTTCAAGAGGTATCATTTGTATTAAATTTTCTAAGTCATTCCAAAATTTTAATTTTAAGCACATATCCAAATCTACTTGAGGAGCATAAGACTTATCATCAAAAATAATATTCAAACCTATAATTTTATCTCTAATTCTACTTTTTTTTTAATATTATCTTTCAAATTCTTATCGATAATCACACCTACACCATTTCTAGTAGGACTCCTACCAGATTACCAAAGTTTAAACTCTAAATATTAATACAAAATATACCTCTTGAAGAAAAAATTTAAGAAAGACTTTTTATCGGAGGAGATTAAATGGACATGTTGGTAAAAATATAGAAGATATATTTTAAAAGAATTCATGATAGCTATTAAGTTTAGAGCGATTAATGAAAGTGATAGGACGATCTTAGATTTTGATATAGCTTATGATTTTGTAATTGCTAATACCCTATTTATGAAAAAAAAAGGAGAATCTCAACACTCCTAAGATTGGATATAGTACAATTTATATTGATTATTTTCTTTTCTTATAAGAAAAATAGTTCATTTAAGTTATAAAGATTTTAAGATGAAATAATACAATATAAAAAATAAAGTAAAGCATTATTCTAAGATTAGATAGGGTCATTGTAAAAACACTAACAAAAATATCTTTGA